ACACACACACACACACACACATACACATACACACACACACACACACTTGCAAACACAAATAAACAAGCACAAATACATGTATACACACACAGACATACATAAAAATACACACGCACAAGAGCGAGCACACACACAAACATACATACACACACACACACACAAACACATACACACAATCTATCCCATTAAAACACACATCACGTACACAAATACATACAAACACATACACACAAACATACGCACAAACATTCACATTTTCATGAATGCACAAGAGTCATAACACAAACAAACTTACAGGCCAAAATTTCTCATCCTCCTGTGGCTCTTGATTGGAAGCTCCGCCTTCTTGAGTGCTTGGGGGCTGGGCTTCTTGTTCTAGTCCCGCCTTTGACTGGCGGGATCTTGCACTACCTTTGGGGCTCTTGGATCTCTCCGATTTTTCTTTCTCTTCCTACAAATATAGTACAATCGATTAAGTATTATAAAGTGGTACTCGTTTTAGTTTTAGTTAAATGTTTTACAGCACTTGCAACACAATAGGTCATATAAGTGCCGAAGATTTGAGGTGTTACAAGAGAGTAACGAACACAAAAAAGATGGAGGGGAGATAAGGATGATTGATGTTAGATAGGAAACAAGGGGCAAAACACACAAGAGCACCCGCCAACCACCCACTCCAGAAATCAACTTTGCCAGAACAGTTGAAACAATTCGTCGGCATGTTGTTGAACTGTTCCAAGTAGGTAGAATTTTTCAGGAGAGAGAAATAAACTGTTTCATTCTTATAAAAGTAAAGGTGTATTTATATTATGTATCTCTTCCTGATTTGTTCAGCATTTAGAACTTGAATTTCAACAAAATGTTCACCAAACTCGCAACTGATACTTTTGATTAAGAAATTGAAAAAAAAAAAATTGTTTCAAACATTTTGGCTTCGGTATATCTGAACAGCTGGCTGAAGAATTACTAATCACAAACAACACAGTTGCAATGCATCACAAGAAGGAGAGAGAGAAAGAAAGAAAAAGAGAAAGAGAAAGTGAGGAAGAGAGA